GGAGACGACATCATGCTGGTTCTGGTCATCTCAGCTGGGAGACGACAGTTTTATTTATTCATATTCATCATTTTATGCTCGCTCGTGTTTTATTCTCATGTTTGTCGCCTCGTTTTTATTTTTTAAATGAATGTTTTGTTTGTAGTTTTGCTGGAGTCACTGCAGGAATGTCAAGCGAGGGGAAAAAACTGGTTCGTATCATAAATCAAAAGTCAAAAAGTACTGAAAATATAAAAAAGGAGAATTTAACACAAATCGTTTTAGCTTCTTCGCTGCAGCAGCGATTCGATGAGCGTCCTCTCTACACGAGCGCAGTTTGTTCAGCGATGCTCAAAAATCATCACAAAAAACTAAAGCTTGTGATTTCTGTGCAGCTACCAGCATAAACAGCTAAATCAGCCGCTTCACAGCTGAAGGGCAACCAACGCCTAAAATAGAAATCAGAGCTGAAGCGCACGGACCAGTTTTTTAGAATCCAGAGAGAAACCGAAGCAGACGACGCTTTAACACCTTCAACAGACGCTGGACTCTTTTTTTTATTTTGGAGATTTATTACAATAAACCTTTAATGTATAATCGCCTGTATCTTTATGTGTGTGTGTTAATTTGTATGTCTGTTAGCAAAATATCTCATAAAGCACTGGACAAATTTGAACGAAACTGTCACAAAGTAATCATTGGACGTACAACTACAGCTGATTACCTTTTGGAGGTAACATCGTTAAAAATGGCTGCCACAGTTAATTGAGCTGGACAAACACATTAATGGCTATTACTCAGTCAGTGTTGTAGATATTGAGCTAACATTTGGTGTGGTAGTAGCTGAGAGTTATCCTCATCACGTACTTCATGCAATAGTGGATGGCACCAAGTTTTAGTTTAAACAAGTGGTTTGACAGTTGAGTGAAAAACGTTTTCCTCACGTTCGTCCTGCTCCGAGTCTAACCTCCACGCTTTCTGTTTTTTAGAGTACAACTCGCTGAGCAGCCTGGTGTCGGAGGCCTTCATCCGCTTCTTCCTGGAGACGATGGGACATTACTCCCTTTTCATCACGCAGAACGAGCGAGGAGAGCGGGTCTTCCAAAGGGAGGCGTTTCGCAAGACCGTGGCGTCCAAGAGCATCCGCCGTTTCCTGGGCGTCTTCATGGAGTCGCAGATGTTTGCTGGCTTCATTCAGGACCGGGAGCTGAGGAAAACGAGGGCTAAAGGTAGAGCAGGTTTCTGTGCACCACTCTCTCCTGAATGATTCAGTTTGGCAGCTGTGGATTTCCACCCTGCACCTTCAGCAGCCTTGAAGCTTCCTGCCCTCTGGTGGCGGGATGCGACTTTCTGCACAGCTTCTCGCTGAACTGCTCCTGGAGGTTCTCGTCTGGATCCCAGAGGCGTTCACATTTGAAAACGTTTTGTTTGAACCCGCGTCATCCTGTTCGCAGGTCTGTTCGAGCTGAGGGCGGATCAGTATCTGGAGGAGCTGCCGGACACGGAGCAGAGCGGAGTGAACAAGTTCCTCAAAGGCCTCGGAGAGTTCTGCACCAGACGGCTCCGATTTCAGTCGCTTGAAAAAGTCACCAGATTTAAAGCGGAGCTACATAAAGACGCTGCTCATATTTCTTCTGTGAGTCCGTCGAACGTTCACGCACAAGAACATCTGGAGCTCTACAGAGCAACTTGGGCTCCATTTCCTGTTTTATGTTTTAACGCGTTTAAAATGAAATAATCTATTCTACTTCAGCTTCACTCTGAAGACCTGTTTTATCTTTCACACAAGAGGAACACCGTTTACGTTTGCTTTAAATCGGTCGAAAGAGGCGAAAGTTACAGAATTTCACGAGTCAGAATTTTTTTGTTTTTTTTGTTGCGATGTGGAAACTCAAATTCCACAGTTTGAATGAAGCAAGATTTAACTTTCCATGAAGTGTGGGACTTTATTTTATTAAGAAGGAAACACGATATTCACACAGAAATCCATAACTCAAAGCAGCATTTTTCAATGTCAGGAGAAACCACACACATTAACATACATTTTATTTCTGCACAAACTCAACTAATCTGCTTTAAAGGAGAAATACTTGGGTTTTTTTTCAGTTACGTTTCAGTTTTGATTCAAAGCTTCACTTTTTAGTTTCCCCAAGACTGAAAAAATATTTAAAACTAATGTTATTTTGGATGTTTGCATCTTTGAAATCTGATTAAACATGTTTATTCCCTTAAAGACCGACTGAGCGCAGGATGAAGGACGTCCACTAGATTTTAGTTGAGGCCTAAAACAATCCAGGCTAATGAGAAATATGCAAAACTGAACTAAAACTGTCCGTCAAGTCAAAGTGCGCCGTCGTGTTTAACACGTTCTTTATTTGTTTCACCTGTTTGCAGGAAATAAAATGAAATTCCTCCACAAAAAGAAGAGAGGAGGAACGCTGAAGATCCACAAGTCTGCTTGAAGCCGACTCCGATTTTTGTCCTTTTTTTTTAACAAAACTTGTACATATTACTTTACTGTGAGACTCTTTGCTTGTTCCGAGGCGGTGAGAGCGGGACGGTACGCAGCGAGCGAGTCGTAGAGCAACCGCTCCCGTTCAGGTTGAGGAGCTGTCGCAGTGAATGTTTGTGATTTGGACGTGATGTACAGTTAATAATGTTTCATCGTTTGGCAGCAGCCGTATCCTCTGTTTAAGGAGTGCACTCAAACTGTACATGCTTCAAGGTCATGAAGACAAAGTATTTTAACTCTTCAGTCTTTTGCCAATAAAAAAACATTTACGTGCTTTTAATGTCTGAGTGCTGGGTTTTCTTTTTTGTTGCTCTCTACTGGTTTTACTTTCTTTACCATCACAAACACAACAAATGTCACGATTTGGAACAGGAATAGGTCGTTCACATATTTTCAGACGCTCTTTTAAGCTAGCGGGCGTGTCAGCCTTCCTCAAAGGTTTGCATCAGGAGGAGTGTAACACCAGCTACCACGCGCTGCCGGTAACCTAATTACGTCCGTGCACATCACTCCAGCTGCTGTCACCGCCGTGCTGTTATTAGCTCCCGTCACCGAGAGGCGCACGGTGGGAGCCAGGTGCCACGTTACCGTCCCTCTGTCTGCAGCCTTTACAGCTGCTGACACAAAAACTGTTGCACGCGCACGAAAGAGCTGCACAAATGTTAACGTGGACGAACGAACTCGTCACAGCCATGAATTCAAATGCAGTTTTTAAATACGGACTTCACTTCATTTCAAGAAGTCAACGTAAACAGTTTCAAACAAATTTGTATGATGCATCTAAATATGTGGAACATTTGGATGTAAAGAAATCAAACATCTGGCACGGTTCATTACTTTAACACAAAGTTTATATTTGCGATATATACTGTACCTGCAAACTGTTTCTACATTTCACAGTATCTGATAAAAAAACAAAAAACTTCAGAGTCTGAAAGTTGCAAATATTAAAATCCTAAAAAAAATGAACAGAACTAGACTTTATTTTTTATTATTAAAAAGCAGAAAAGGCTTCAAGCGAAGTTGTGGAGTTTTCTGTTTCTGTCGTCAGCTCCTGCCTCACCTGCGCGATCGTAATCACTGCAGGTGTTTGTCATTTTGTCTCGTTTCTATAAAGTTTGTGCGTCGTCGTGTGAAGGCCGTTGGGTTTCTGTTCATCTCCTCAGCCACGTCCCAAAGCAAGTTTTTCTGCCCTGTCAACGTTTTGCTTTGTATAAATAAACTAAAGTTACTTATTTGATCAGGAAGCTTCATCTGGCTGCCGTCACCTGGATGACTGACTCCATCACCCAGAGGCATCAAACATTTCAACGTTTCGTCAAAGTGATGCTGACCGGCTCGTTTGTTTGAACCGTTTCAGCTGCACACGCTTTGTGCTTAGAGTCATTTAAATCTGATTTATAACTCGTAGCTCCAAAAAGTGCAGTGATTTTCCACAAAGTGTAATTCATTAAACCTTTTCTTTCTAGTCCCATTGAGCCTCGAGGACTCATTTACAAGAGAGGCCTGAAACGCATTAATGAAGTAAATAACGTGCTGAAGCATGAATATACTTGGAGGTTGAAATTATCTGCTTTTTATCCACATTTACATCGACTCCAATCGTTGCAGCTGAAAGCTGTTAACACCTTGGATTTGAATATATTCAGCTGCAACTTCTTTAATATGGATGAGAAAACATGTTTTAAACAGCTGAGAGTATTTAAAAATATATTTTCCCTTAGGGCGACTGGCTTGATCTTCATTTAATAACATTTATCTAACTATATTCTGTAAATGTAAAGACAGTACATTTTATATTGTGTGCGTTTAGACAATAGTAGTTCCCTAGATTTATAAAGTTTGATAGGCGTACGTTGAAATGCTTTATTTTAAATGTCACATTTCCTGCTCAGCATTTACATTATTTTTTTCATAAACATTTGAATTAGTCCAGAAGGTTAGCAGAATATATTTAATGCTTTTCTTTATTCCTTTATGATGTATACTTATCTATGTGGCTGTAAAGATATAGGCCTATAATTTGGCTCATTTCAAGTATTAAGTGTCACTATCACAAAAGTTGACATTTACCAAAAGACCATGTTTTAAGTATAATTACAATCTGCTGCTGGAAAACGACTTGAAATCCATTAATGGGAATCCTTTGGAGCTTCTGTCAGGATGAAGTCCTGTCCGGGCTTCTGAAGTCTCGCTGCACGCGCAACTCTCACGATCAACTGCGAGACTTGAATCTCCCCAAAATTTTGTCCGGACCAAAGCGCAACATCCAAGGAAGTGCGTGTGCGTGCGTGCGTGAGGGGGACCGCCAGTGGGAGATGCTCGTGTCCAGGTAACCACAAACCTGCAGCCTTGTCTTCCTGCAGATAAAACGAGGATTCAGTTCCTTCTGCACCGACAACAAACACGCGACTCCTCGTGCGTTCGGCTCGCAGGATGCGTCACGAGAAGTCAGCGCGAGGATTTCGCGCCGTGATGCAGTTTCTGGTTGGTGTAATTGCGTGAAACTAGCCGTGTGCGCGTGACTTTTGTTGGGCTGTTGAGGATAGCTCCGTGTTTAGGGGCGGAAGCTCCTGCGCACTTTCTGAAAAAGAAGGTGACGTTGAGAGATGCGCCGGAGGTGAGGATGCTGATGCTGAGGATGAGGATGGATGCGGGGGCAGACACACACACGCACACGCACACACACACACACACACTGCCTGTCATTGCTGCTTGGTGTGTTTTAAACCAATGAACAGTAGAACATGTCAGAAATATCAAGCAGAAGCTCCAACTCCCACAGCTGGAGAGAGAATGTCTCTGTGCTGCATGGTTTTCACCATGAGGTTATTTATATATTTGTTGTTTTCACCATGAGAGTATTTATTTATTTGTTGTTTTCA